GACAGGGGCATCCCAGACAACATGCAATGTGGGGAGAAAGTCACAAACAAGTCCTTCGTTAGCAGGGGGGTTAACCCCGAGGCAGAAACAATACTATTATGACGCAGGGCGATCCAGCGATGACACACCTTTCCGTCTTCTACGTTCATCACAATTTGAATAACAGTGTTGGATGATTCCAATCCATTCTGTTACTCTGGTGATACAATGGACCAAATTGAGTTGCTGAAATCATGAAAGAATGCAACATAGCTAAAGAGAAGTCTGGTTGAATCAAAAGCCACCTTACAGGTTCAAAACAAACCTGTAGTCCAACTTCAACTGGTTCCACACTGTCAAATATTCAGAAACATGTCCGATTTGTTTCAATAAAAAATTCAGAAACGGACAAGTCTTGTCAATGGAGAAATGCTTTCTTCAAAGTAATATAATCCTCCGACCGGCACACCCAAAGCTCTCTAAATAAAACACTGTGTTTTATATTTGTAATCTGTAGGCTTTTCAATCCTTACGTCTGCTAGTGGTCGCTTCATACTCAGTGTATAGACTGTTCTTAACTCTCTCTTAAACTCACCACTGGCAGGTTTGTTGAATATGAACACAATGTCAGTCTACAGATACAAACCAACCAACTGGAATATTATCAGATCAGTCCGTAAGGTAACGATAGTACCGTAGCATCTGAACCCTTTTGGTAAAGTGTGATTTGTTTGAGTCAGGATGAGGTATTCCTGCTGGTCTTTTCTCTACTCTGACCTCAGACTGTGACCCAGCTTTGAGGCTGAATCTTCCTCCTTCTCCTCTTCTTCCTCTCACTTCCCATCAGATCAGATTCAGGGTGTTGGCTGTCTTCCCTCACGTCGTGTCACTCCAGCCTGACATCCCCTCCCCCAATCACCAGCCTCCCTTCCTCTCTCTGTCACATCACTGCGGGCTAGCGAAGGCCAGGCAAACAGAGGTGCATGTGTGATATGTGTAAGTCCTCAGTAACAGCGTAGTGATGTCAGCTCAATATATCAGCCTGCTGACCTTTCAGCGTGTAAGGCGGCGGCAAGGAGGGGGGGGGGGGTTATTTATGGGCCAATGCAGAATTCATTGACTTTTTCCAGAATCTGTCAGCTTCTCTTGATAAACAAAGCCTCGGTCTGCACCCAGAGGCAGAATGACACCTGTAATCCCTTCATACTGTCACCAAAAGCTAAACTCAAAATATCTCAGAGGCTAGCCAAATCTATTTTAGATCAAAGTTTGGTTTCATAGCATAACTGCAGCATGCTGATGCTAAAAACAGAGATATCAAGAGTACTGTAGCCGAGTTACCAAAGATAATCCTGTTATTCTTCGCCTGAACTGTGGCATTCACACATTGCTTTCTTTTGTGTTCCAGCTCTCTCAACATTTACTTGCCAAAAAGCCGTTTTATTAAAGTGTTATTAATCATTATTCTTATTTTCTAGGTGAAAAGTAAGTAAAATCCCCAATTTGTGATGAATTCATCATAAATAACTCATATTTGGGAACTCTTATTGTTTTGAGCTGTGGTCTTGCTAATGGTTTCCATTGGGATACAAATGACTCTGCATCATTATATGCCAGGAATTAAGAAACACGTGTCGGTTTAAACTTGGCCACCATGCCATTTTGAGTTAACTTAATGCATTTTAAATGGTTTCTTAAGACTCTCCTTAACCTTAGAGAAGCAAAGCAATCACCATCTCGAACAAAGTTGGTTTTACAAGAACGACGACATGCTGGATACTCATCTTGACAGACACCACATCCATCTCCATTAGTGATTCACAGGAGATAAATCCCTGCAGCGAATATGGCCATAAATATCTGAACATTTACGTTAAAGCCGAGAGCTGAGAGGAACATAGCTGAAAGAAAAATGCCAGATTTTCTCAGTTCTGCCTCTGAGCAATTCATCTGCGTAGCTCTGCTTGAAGATGATGGATGCCTGCTGAGTCAATGCCACAATATCTGCCCTGCTCAGTACATTAAAGCAGAAAATATTGCTGAGTATGACCGGATACCCACTATATAGGTCCGTGGAAAGCTGATTTATTAAGAAGGGAATACTCTCCGACAGAGTGAATATATTTCATAGGTGTATATTAGAAATGGAAGGCAAAGAGAATTGAGAAAAGCAGCATTTCTTCAAAAAGATATCTGGGGGAATACGGAGCCAGCCCATCCTATATGTGGCAGGTAACTAGGCTAAGGCGATTCATCTCAATTACAACACAAAGCCCGCTGTGATTCAGTTGTATAAACAGGGCCGAGTTCAGTAAAAATAGGCTGAGAGGCAGAGCGATAAAGGGAGGTGAGGCAGGTTCGGTTCACCTCAAGCCAGGAGGCTTTTCACCCTCATTCCTATTTCTCTTTGGTATGACACGAAGGTCGTGCGGGCTGTGAAGTGGACAGAGCTGACAGGAGCCGAGGGAGAGGCATGGGAGGAATCACAAGCAGTCCCAGGCATTAAAGATGGAGACACAACGTTGAAAACTTCTTATAAAAGGCAGTAGACAACTTTATGTCCTCAGACCTGAGGGATAAATGGAGCACTCGGAAACCTCTGGTACTGAGAAGTGAAACCAATATGTCTGAACTTGCACTCTTTCTGATATCAAGCAGAGGGTGACTCTACTGGTTGCATAAAGAAGTGTGGTTGTATAGAAGTATATAGCTCAGTAAACATTGTATACATGAGTTTATAGTCTCAATTTGTAGTTTAAAGTCTTCATCAATACAGCAGGAGGATCATTTAGCAAATGATGTTTCCATTTAGGTTCAAATAAACCATAAAGCAGAGAATGCTTAAGGCTTTAGGCGGGCTACGTGGTCCAAATGTCTGACTGTTTACCAGTATTTTCTCTTCCTGAAAGTTAATTGGAACATTTCGGTTTGTCTAAAAAGCGTTTGTTTTAGCATATGGCTGTACTTATCTCTAACCTCTCGTGTGACTTCTGGCTCCAAAAAGCATGGTGACGGCCAAAATGCCAAACTATAAGTTCTAAATAATGGTTTACAAACCAATGGGTGACCTCACGGTGACAACGTCTGTGGGAGGGAGGGGTGGGCCGGCTGGGAAAAGGTAATATGAGCCTTGGAGGTATAAAAAGTTGGCTGGAAATAACAAGCCTGCCTCCAGCCACCACCTCGTCGACTCTGTAACCATTTGTGACATTTAGAAAAGGCTCCAAACTGGCCTAATTACATACTGTAGATGAAAACAAGTGTGGAAAGGAAATACATTCCTCAGTTACATTCCTATGGGGCAGCAGAGTAATGGAGTCTGGAAATATTATGGAGCAAAGAGCAGCATAACACATTAGGTCATTGTCTGTGAGTCTACTGACCACATCACGGACCTCTGGTGAAGAATAAGGAGAAAAGTGCTTTTAGTTTGTGGTCGGAAAAGAAACATGCTTCCACTTTCCGAGCCAGACTCGCATGAAGAAGCCATTTAAAAAAGACCAAAACAGCACAAAATCACTTCTGATTAAATCTTGCAAAGGTAGCAGAGGCAGCTGCCTTTTCATTCCCATATTTCAGTCTGTCACTGTCTCCATATCTATCACATCTTTATTATCTGACAAAAGATTTGCACAGTGAGTGCATCCAAATAAACGTCAGTCAGCATCACTGATGTACGATAAAGAATAACATACAGTGGAAAGAAAGCCATCAAAAGGATGTGGCAGGACGTAAAGGAAAGGAAGAGAAAAAACTCCTTTTTGTTCCCATTGTGCTCACATTTCAGAAACTTCTCAAAGTTCATTTCCAAGTTCACGAGGTCTGCCGGTTGACAGCTAGGGCAGAAACATTTTAATATTTCATGTGGAGCTAAATCTCTCTCTGAACATTAGGTAGAGGGAGCTTTTTGGCCCGGGAGTGTGGTCTCATATTGAATTTTGAAGTCATAAATGGATGTTTCAAACTGCAGAGCGGAGGGCGGTTTAGAGGTCCGGAGAGGACAATAAATCACTTGGTCACACGTTCTGTAGCCTCTCCGGATCAAAGAGCTCCCTCAGCATCTCCACACTCAAGTATCAAGGGACAGAAGAGGGAGAAAGAAAACATCTGTGTGAGAATAAATATCTTTATATTGCATAATCCGATTGCAAAGCCACTGAGATGAAGGCTATGTGACACTTCAGCTTCACTTAAATGTATCATGGTGTAATGAAAACAACAGCACCAAATGAAATATAGCTGCAAGAATATAACTGATGTTGCACAGTGACAATAACAGGACTTCTTGACATCCTATCTGAAAATAAACAACAAGTCATGCAAAAATGTGATTGTTGTAAAAATGATTCCAGAGCAATGTCAGAGCAGAACACACTGCTTATTTTTACAATGTTCTGCTACCTTATTTTATATAGCCAATGTTTTTCATCCATTGATGTGGCTTTTCTGAACGCTTTCGATCTACCCGGACCTAAAGTTGAAATTGCAATATTAGCTGCTGCATGACTTTATTCCCATGCTGACAGGGATTGCTGTGGTTGTAAAAAGGGGGAAATGAGCACTCGTATGAGCAGAAGTGACACGGCTACTTTCCTGGTTTATCTTCGAGTGCAGCTCAGCAGATTCCTGCCTCCTGCTGTTACAAATTATTTCTTTTCTGGTGAAGTTGTATTTCATAGTCGAGCAAAGCTTGCTAAAGACTGCCCTCTTGTGGATATTTACAACAATGAAAAGCTTCTAAACTTCAGTAAAACGAATGGATATATCTTCTTCATCATATGAAAAATATGGTTGTATGGTAGAGGTCCTGTATTTTGCAGGTTAAATATCAAAGTATATTAATATTGTTATGAACATTATGATGACTTTCTATTATTTAAACCATTGTTATACTTTAACCTTTAGACTTTTGACTTTACTGTACGTGTGTTTTTGGAATAGAAGCATGTTTTTTCATATTACATGAACTGTGTTGTATAGGAATAAAAGGCTTCATGAGGAAGGTTATGAGACTTTTTATTTCAACCATTCTCCTGCAGGGACTTCACCTAGTCTGAGTCCTTGAACTCTTTGCAGGTGATGGAGGTTTTTCATGGGTCATGTTCCCTGATCCTTCCTCCCCCAAAGCCTTGTCCTTCTCCAAAGCCATCAGCATGATCTGCTTTAGCACGGCCTGGTATTTCTCATTCATCCGCTTAACTTCCGGCTCGTATTTGTTGCACTGCACTGTGAGCTTCTTCATCTCCTCTATGAGCTTGTTTTTCTCCTGCACCACGCGCTTATACTGCAGGCTGTGGAAGTCTCTGTTCCTCTGCACCCTCTCCAGGGTCAGTGCTCCTGCAGCCGCTGCCCGCCTGTACTCCTCCATCTCCCGCTGCGCAGTCTCCAGTTCGCCGGTCAGACTCTCGTTCTCGGTGTACACCAGTGGCACTAAACCGATTTTCTCTGTATCCAAACCCCCTCTCTGCACCATCTCGGTCCACTCAGTCTGGAAGCAGTCAAGTGTTTCTGTCATGTTCATGTGGAAGAGGAAGGTGCGTAAAAAGTCATCCACGGCCTCCTGTTTATGCGGGGATGAGGGAGCTGCTTTCCGGGGAGAAGCAGCTGCCTCTGCCCGCTCCTGGATCGCTTTCACCGTCGCCTCCAAATCCTCCTCTCCTTCCGTCAGACTCCAGTCCTCCCCCAGAGAAACCTCTTCATACTGAAAGCCATCCTCACTTTCAGACAGAGAGACCGTCTCTTTGACTTTCTTATCTGCGCTCATTGTTCCGTTTGAGACTGTTTGGAGTTGCTATGGTGACGATCCTGGCATTATTTCTAACGCAGCACAACATGGTCTTAATAAGTCCATATCTTCACTTGCATTGACTATTTTTCCCGTATTGTGACTGAGCATATTTGCTTCTTCTTTTTTTAAGTAAATGTATACAAGTTAATAATTTGTATAATATAATAATTCGTTTTTTGGGTGACCAAAATAACGTCTTTGGGCTAACTGCCCCATGTGCATCTGTTACATAAACAAAACATGTAAATATATACTTTTATTAAAGGTATTATCGTGGTTTCTGATCCTGATTTCACACATTTCATTATAGATTCGTCCCCTGTGAGTAAATTAAGTTATTATCGTCTAACAAATTCCTTGTAATTTGTTTAATAATCGCAATAGGCTACTTATCACTAGAAATACGTAGGAATCTTTAGGTTAGTGGGTTCCTGTTCCTATGGGAGAAATTCCCCACAAATATGTCCTTTCTTTTATAGCTGTTGTAACCGCGAGATTTCACGAGATCCCGTTTGCTCCATCGTCCACAATCATGGCGGACTACAAGGAGGCGCCCTTGGCTTCTCGGCCAAAAACACTGGACCCAAACGAGTACTTTAACCTCTCTCTGGAGTACCGCCGGGCCGAAGAGCAGAGGTCGGCTATGCGGTCCAACCTGAAGCTCCAGTACCAGACTCAGCTCAACAACCCGCACAGAAAGGCCCTCATTGTGAGTGTTACCCTTCAAAGTGGCTACATGCTAACGTTAGCATCAGAACCAGGTTTATTGTTAACACATACAAGCAATTCGCCTTGGTGTATTTTGACGCAGACATAAACAGTCAAAGAAGATGCATTGTAAGAAAAGTACCATGACATAAAACAATCACAAGACGGGACTAGACGGAATTAATATGTGTAGAGTTGAAGCTAACCTACAGCAATGCTTTACTTTGCAGTGTCCTTGTTTTTCTTTCTGTTGTGTTTCCATCTTATATAATGTAAAGTGTTGCCATCTTATATAATGTAAAGTGTTGCCATGTGTTAGAGAAAGGGTTAACGCAGTTAAGCACATTTAAAAATCATTCAACATACATTTTTCTCACCTATCCCATGAAAACCTGCAACAAAACACCTAACCTGTTCATGGTTCTTCACCACCAGCTGCTCTCAATCAAACTGTAATTAATAGAACAGTGTGCAAGTGTAATTGACATTTGCATGGTCAAGATATCTCCTATTTATCAACAGACAAACATGAAACTACTACACTCACAACACTTAATATTGACTTACTCAGTTTGTCTTACTACTGCTACTTCTGTCCTTTACTTATCATGGACTGTATGGACATAGTAGGAAAAGCACAACTGATACTGTTACATTAACAATAGCTATTTTCCTATTGATGTGTCCTATTAGTCCATGGCAATGTTACAGTGAGCCAGTATGCCCAACACCAGGACCATATGTCATATTAATGCACTCTATGAAAAAGTCCTTATCTTTTATACTTTTGTTTGAAGAGAAAACGTATTTGCTGTAGTAATACAATATGTAAATACACGTTGCCATGTCATTTTTCTCTGATGCAAAGACTTACTAATACATTGAAATGAATTTGCTTACCTGCGTGTGTTTACAGGAAGACCCGGCCCTGAATCGCTGGATGTACGCCCGGTCCCACACCTACCCTCACTTCAAGGCCACATTCAAGACCTCTCTGACTGGGCTCCTGTTTTCAGTGGTGCCTATCTTTGCCTTTTACTACCTCTTCAAGACAGACAGGGTATGAGACAACATGCACTCACAACACCACACTTATCTATCTATCTATCTATCTACCTACCTATCTATCTTTCTTATCACCTCTTGCTCCTTAAGCATCATGTTTAATAACTACACCATCATTTAGCATTCAACTTAAGTCAGTTTACTATTGATTGAGTGGCATGTATTTATGTCTGTGCACAGAACTACAAATACGTCAAACATGGGCACATATATTGATCACTTGGAAAACCATTTAATCACAGATTTCGGTCTCTTAGGAATTTTTAAGACTTAAAAAACAAAATTAGAACAGACAAATAATTGAATCCCAAATATTCTTGCAGTTATTAAAAGTACTAAGATGCCAAACTGGAGGTCAAAACACTAGTGATTTCACTTTATATAATCCTGTAGCCTTAAATAATCCTTCAATTTGTATATTCATGAATGGCATCATGGATCTGAAAGCTATTCAGCTGAGGATTGGAGCTCAGCAGTTGATCTGAATCCCTTTTTTTGTCACAGAGCCATTCATATTTGAATCAAATGCTTTATTGTCATGGAGATCCAGCGTCTAAATCCTCACCGATATGAATTCAAGGGAGAATTTTGTGAAATTGTCAAACTGCTGAGCCTCAAATTCGCTTCCTCTTTCCGCTGGGAGGACAAAAAGCTCACTCATAAAACAATCTTTTGAGAACATGTCTGGAAGGTGAAGAGGGTGACATGACTTTGTTGCCATGGAATCAGCATTAACCCATCGTGTGTGTGTCGTGTGTTTTACAGGACAAGAAGGAGGCGGATATTAAAGCTGGAAAGTACGACCGCCGGTTCGCTCTGTCATCATGAGCTGCGCTGAGCCCTTCATGCTCTAGTGATGCCAGTGTCTGTAATTATTATTATTAACTGAATAAAATTATATTGTCAAAAACAGTCATGTGGTTTTAATTGGTGAGTTAAAGGTGTGACAAATACAGTAGACACCGGGGCAGTGAGGCTTAAAGCAGAGGCAACAAGAGTGGATATACTGTTGAGTTTGGGAAAATGTGGCATAAAGCAAGTTCACCTGCTCAAATCTTTTAACACACACATTACAATCTGCACAGGGAGACGATCACTTACGCATAGGGACGGGTACCGGGCCCCGGGGCTGAATTATTAAAGACCGTGGTACCGTTAAGCTCCGACGTTATCGGTCTTTTTATCGGTACTGGAGACATAAAAAAAAAAACGTCCTATCTTATGCTACACAAACACGTTTCTAATACACAAAAAGAATGCAAAATGTGTTATTTGTAGTATTAGTGTGAAATATTATGTATTTCATTTAAATAAGCAATGTTAATTTTGTTCACAATTTGTGTAGTTAGTTTACCTTTATTTTTTTCTCCAAAAGAACCGATAAGAGAACCGTTAAAAGACCGGATCGATAAAAGTATTAGTACCGTTAAAACCTTAACGATACCCATCCCTACTTACGCACGCACCGTGTTAGTTCTGACCAGTCCAAGGTCCTGAAATCAGGTACAGACATACAATATTCGAAAAACCTAGTAAAGCAGGAGATACAGAAACTAGGCAGCCTAGTTTTGATTTTGAGGTTTGACAAACACCAACTCTCTGCTTTGATCTTTATTGTGCTACTCCAATCTTGTCTGCTTGGAATAAATGACTGAATTTCTTCAGAAACAGACAAAGAAATCCACGTTTCAGAAACATTAGATTTACTATATTAAGGTCAAATTATTAGTTTTTGTTTATGTATAACATATACTAAACTCTACTATATTTGGTTTGGGTTTCTTCTTCTGCTCCCCTACTGTTTGCTGGGCTTCCAGTTGGGGTTGAAGTGGCTGCGCAGAGATTCCCAGCAGTGGTAGTAGCTCTTGTCGAGTCTCTGGCATGTTTCTAGACCCCACTTTGTGACGGCCATGCTGAAGGAGGACTCAAACATGAACGCCTGCAGAACAGAAAATACAGGACACAGATATTAATGATGGGACTGCTTTTATATCTAACTTCTTTAATGATGCTTCTCTAGTTTACCTTCAAACTTCATATGCAGAGGTGGGAAGTAGTGAAATACTTTGTTACTGTACTTAAGTACATGTTTCTGGTATCAGGACTTTACTCCACTACTTATTTTTCTGACCACTTTTTACTTTGACTTCTTACATGTTAAACACAAATACCTGAACTTTCTACTTCTTACATTTTTAACACAAATACCTGTACTTTCTACTTCTTACATGTTGAACACAAATACCTGTACTTTCTACTTCTCACATTTTGAACACAAATGCCTGTACTTTCTACTTCTTACATGTTGAACACAAATACCTGTACTTTCTACTTCTTACATGTTGAACTCAAATACCTGTACTTTCTACTTCTTACATGTTGAACACAAATACCTGTACTTTCTACTTCTTACATGTTGAACACAAATACCTGTACTTTCTACTTCTTACATGTTGAACACAAATACCTGTACTTTCTACTTCTTACATGTTGAACCCAAATACCTGTACTTTCTACTTCTCACATTTTCCAAACAGGCTGGTTCCTTTAGTCTGAATGTGTGTTTGGTGGCGTGATCATTATTATTTAGAGTCATTGCGTGCCTATTGATTTGAACACGATCCGTGTATCCATCATTTCCTGGTCTTCTCTAAAGAAGAGGGACCAATGAAAACGTTGTCATGTTGCCGTTGTTCAGCATGGAAACATTCATTAGCTAACAATGACATTATTGTTCTATTAATATAAAGGGAGGTCAGGTACTCTTTAAAACAGCTGCTAGTTATGGGTTACTTTTTACTTAAGTACATTTAAAAGTTCTTTACTTTGACTTGAGTAAAGAAGTTTAGTCAGTACTTCTACTTTTAAACACGAGTATCTGTACTTCTACTTGAGTAAAGGATGTGTTTACTTTTGCCATCTCTGCTCATATGCATCTAATAAAAATACACTTCCTTACCATGGTGCCTTCAGCCACTCTCTCAGGTCTGAGCACGGAGCTGCTGTTCTTCTCGAAGCACTCTCCATCTGGTCCGTGGGGGGTCATAATGCTGTGCAGGCTGCCCCCCCCAGGCTGGAAACCCTCTGCTTTGGCTTCATAGTGGCCTTCGATCAGGCCCATGAACTCGCTCATGCAGTTACCTAAAGAAACAGACAGGAGGCGCTGTAACACAGGCTGAGTTTCCAGTATAAAAGGCACTGATTTCCACTAGATGGCCTTATAGATCTGTGGTGGAAACAGACAAAAGGTGCTGTGGCGGGGCCTGCAAAGAACCGTTCAGCAGGTGGGTTTTATCAACTGCTGACTTGACACTGGTTGGGTGAAAAGGATAGGTTAGTTTCCTTTCATGATAGACTCAACATAAAACCAATTGACTTAATTTTAGCCACATCTAAACTCCTTTAGACCCTTTCACACATGAACTGCAACCCTAGACGTTACCCAGAAGAGCTTTATGTGAGAGTCTGACTCTTTGCACCACATATTAAAACAGACTTTACAATGCCAAGCACAAAGTCTGTTCAACATCCGACCCATGAGTGAATTTGTTGATTTCTTTGTTTGTTTTTTATTACTCATGGCTCGAGACAGAAAGAAAACCAATATTAGAAGGTTAAGAAGAAGTCATTTAGACGGCAATTAAATTGTCTAACTTGAGAGATGATGAGATCTGGTAACTCCTTTTCATAGAGGCGGACGATAAACAGACAAATAAATGAAAATACAAAATAATTGGTAGTTTGTGACCAAGTTACCAAACAGTGTTGTGACCGCGGGGTAATCTGGGTCATGTTGGGCCTCCTGCACGCTCTGCCAACACATCATCTTTTCATAAAGCAAGATTGTCCCTCTAACACGGGCAATCTCCCGTTGTATGCTACATGTGTTCAAGGAAATCTACGGATGAAGTGCAGACCTGATTCTCTGGACATTCTCCAGAGTTTTTATTAGAAAACAGAGCTATTTCTCAGAAGTCTTTTTCTCCTCTCGTGCAAAATGCAAGAGATGAATCAATGTGAGTGTGTTATTGGGGTCTTACGATGATAGTATGGAGGACGGAAGGTGTTGTCAGCCACACCCCAGCGAGGGGGGAAGATGACAAAGTCAGCGATGGCCACACCTGGACGCGTGGATTTGGCGGTCAGCACGGTGAAGATAGATGGATCCTAGAAGAAAATCAGTATATGATGAGGGCGTGGTAGAGTATTAAGACTTACATGTACTTCCAGGGCTTGAAGTAAAGAGAATGGAATTGATTTGTGTTATGTATATTAAAAAGTAGCATGTCTGAATATGTCTCTCACCGCATGGTCAAAGGCCACTGCGTTGATAACCATGAAGTTCTTCAGGTTGTATTTGTACGGTGTGTAGTTGCCGTGCCAAGCCACCACATTGAACGGAGAGAAATCCTACATGCAGAGCACAGAGGCAAACAAATAAGACGAGTCTGCCCAAGCAACAAACACAAAGGACTTTAAATTGAGCTTTTCACAGGGAAAAAGGAATAATGAATAATGTCTTTGTAATCTTAAATTCTCAGAGAGAGCACTTCTTGACATAAAGAGAAAAAACTGGTCGTAATGAAAAGGGTTGATTGTGAAAGAGGGTGTGCTTCTTTCTTCTCTTTCATTCCCCCTGTTCTTTGTGAAACCAGGCTCCAGGTATTATGGGGTAATTGTAATTGGCTTCACAATCAAACTTTCCCAAACTTTGGGCATTTTGACGCTCGTGACGGCGCAGTTAAGGGGGGAGAAGAGCAGTTACAGTGGGTGTACAGATATATTTCTTTCATCTTGATTGTTAAAACCACAGCAATTTCATATAGTTTCTCTGTTCTGATAATGCCACCGCGAAAAAGACATTGAACAGCAGCTCTAAAAATCAATATAGTTCATTACAACTCAAGCTGCCTCCTGAGTGACCTGCATGTCCCTCACACACATCAACAGCTAGCACACACACACACAGAATAAAAAACACATATGCATACTCTAACATGTGCATATGTGAATGATTTAACCAAAACATAAAAGGAAATAAGGAAACAAAATCACAAACATAATTTACAGTCCCTGCCATACAAAAATGCCCAATCTCTTGGACGGTAATCCGTGGTAACTCTCCTGCATTCGATTAAAATGAGGGGGGAAATGTAGGAGAGTACACACATGCACACAAAACACAAACATATTGGCCCAGTCAAGCAAATAATAAGTTAATTTGAGCAATTTCAGCACACTGCAGGAGAACAACACAGCAGGATCAGACGGGAGCAGCAGCATCTTCCCCCAGATGAGGCCGGCGCTCCCTCCCCACCTTATTCTCTCACCCCTGCATTCCCCCCCCCCTCCTGCTCAGGACCCCAGGAAGAGAGTTTCAGATGCAGCCGTGACCTCTGACCCCCAGCACCGAACAGGGGGCGGATACTCCAGGCGAGGCAGCGAGAGATGGAAAAATGTTTGTTTTGCTACAAAAAACGGCATCTCGCCCTTGTGTAATTCATACAATGAATAATAACAGAGTAGTTTGACATGGTTTCCACGGTTACAACCCCCCCGAACTTCTCCTCCCGCCTCCTCCCAGTCTCTGTATAAAAAAAACCCCTCCTTTCACACATTATGTGTCGATCCAATTATGCGCCCAACAGGACACTCGGGGAGGGGCGGGATCATTCCCTGAGTGAAATGCGGGGAAATGAATGCTTAACTTGGGAAAGGTTTTTCAGAGAAAGCACAGCCTCACAGGCACACCGTCAGTAACTCCTGAATGCCTTAACTAATTACGAGTGATTAAGGCTCATAAGGGAGTCGAGGCGGAAACCCGCTGAAGGGATAACAGCACACACTTCGATATTAAACCATCAGGCATGGCAGCAGCAGCTAATGGATCACATGCTTCACTTGGACAGCTT